CTGAGAAACCCCCCCCCCCACCAATAAAGGTCACTGGCTGGGTTAGTCGCTCGTGTGTTGACCCGGATGCCTGGGCCCCCTGGGTGCCCCCAGATGCCTGAGGCCATGGTAGGCTGGGGAGGGGCAACCAGCTGTTGGGTCTCCCCGGACACCTGGGTCCATCGACAGTGCGGGGAGGGGCACCCGGTTGAGTCAGCTTGGGTCGGATCAGGCTGAGATGAGTTGGGTCGACTGAGTGGAGTTGGCCTGAGCTGAGTCGGGTTGGGTCGAGCTGAGTCGGGTTGGGTCGAGCTGAGTCGGGTTGGGTCGAGCTGAGTCGGGTTGGGCTGGGATGAGTTGAGCTGGCTTGAGCTGAGTCAAGTTGGGCTGAATCGAGTTGGCTTGAGCAGTTGAGTTGGGCTGAGTCAGGTTGGGCTGAGTCAGGTTGGGCTGAGTCAGGTTGGGTCGGTTTGGGTTACCGAGCTGGGTCAGGCTAGGCTGAGTTCAGTCAGATTGGGATGAGTTGATTCGAGTCGCGTCGGGTTCAGCCGAGCTGAGGAGCCCCATTAAGATGGGCTGAACAGAGTCAAGAGGGGTTGGGTTGAGCCGAGCTGGGCTGGGACGAGCTGCGTCCAATGGCGTTGGGGTCGAGTCAGGCTGGGTTCAGCTGACTTGGGTTGAGTCCAGTTGGGTTGAGTCGAGTTCGGTTGACTCGAGTTGGGCTGGATTGAGCTGAGCAGAGCTGAGGTGCCGGGTAGACTTGCGTTGAGCTGAGCTAAGAGTTGGGTTGAGCCCAATTGGGTTAAGTGAGGTTTAGTCAAGTTGATGAGGGTCGAGTCAAGCTGGAATGAGTCGAGTTGAGTTGCGTTGGGTTGAACTGAGTCAAGTTGGGTCGAGTTGGGTCATCTTGGCCCCACCATGGAGCCACCTCCTTCAGGACCTCCCCAGGTGCCACCATCTCTTGACCGAGACCTTCCCGCTCCTTAGGAGGGGGCTCATTTGGCTTTAATTGGGGAGGGGGGAGACAACTTTGGGGGGGGTGTCCCACTTTTGGGGGGAGGGTACCAGGTTTAGAAATGCCACCAGGAGCCTCCATCCTGCTTCAGGGACCTCGCACCAGGGGCAGAGCCAGGGTTAGGAAGGGGCCCGGACACCTGGGTCCTCTCCTGGTTGGAGTGGGTCCAGGTGGGAGAAAGGGGGAGTTGGGATGGGAACCCGGACGCCTGGGCCCTGGGGTCCCCGGGGTGCATCGCTGGTGCCTCCAACATCTCCAAAGTCTGCAGATCTCCAGGGCCTGCCAAGATCTCCAGGACCTTCAAGGCCTCTGATGTCCTCCAATGTCTCCAGCGACCCTGAGGTCTTCAGGACCTCCAGGCACTTCAGTGTCCCCATGGGCTCCACCATCCCCAAGGGTCTCCACCATCCCCGAGGTCCCCAGGACCTCTCCTATCCTCAAGGGTCTCCAGGACCTCCACCATCCCCAAGGGTCTCCAAGACCTCCACCATCCCCGGGGTCTCCAACCACCCCCAGGATCTCCAGGACCTCCACCATCCCCAAGGGTCTCCAAGACCTCCACCATCCCCGGGGTCTCCAACCACCCCCAGGATCTCCAGGACCTCCACCATCCCCAAGGGTCTCCAAGACCTCCACCATCCCCGGGGTCTCCAACCACCCCCAGGATCTCCAGGACCTCCACCATCCCCAAGGGTCTCCAAGACCTCCACCATCCCCGGGGTCTCCAACCACCCCCAGGATCTCCAGGACCTCCACCATCCCCAAGGGTCTCCAAGACCTCCACCATCCCCGGGGTCTCCAACCACCCCCAGGATCTCCAGGACCTCCACCAACCCCTGCCTGGCACAGCTGGGGCTGCCCCTCCTCAAGCTCTTCCTCCTCTTCCCCCTCTTCCCCGGATGCCTGGGCCCCTCCCCGGACCTCCACCATCCCCGGGGTCTCCAACCACCCCCAGGATCTCCAGGACCTCCACCAACCCCTGCCTGGCACAGCTGGGGCTGCCCCTCCTCAAGCTCTTCCTCCTCTTCTTCCTCTTCCCCGGAAGCCTGGGCCCCTCCCCGGACGCCTGGGTCCCCTGTGCATCCCTCTCCACCCAGAAGGGACCCAGGCGTCCGGCCCCTCCCCCCCACCCAAGGAAGGACTCACTGCCGGCACCAGTCTCAGCCTCAACTGGTTTT